ATTGGGATCGTCGATGTTTTAGGGAAATTTATGATGAAAAACTGTCCTGTTTCGCTATACATACCTATACACTTTATAGCGCGACGGATTATTTCTTCCAATCGGATTTTAAAGTAACTCGTGAAGATTTCATCGCCCGTCAAAAATTTCCGGCGCGCCGGTGCACTTCATTATTTTCTCGAGGAAGGCTCTCTATCCGGCTCGTCATCCGCGAAATTTCTCGAAAAACATTTTTCTCCCGCAAAAAATATACAAGGAAAAAATCTACATCAAACTCTCACTCTCTTCTTTCCATTCTCCCGGCGCCGGATGAAATCTCCGACTTATCGCCCAAGCGCAGCTCGACAAATTTTCCCAACTTTTTACCACGGGAAACTCGGCTCATCTGCTTCGTAGCTGTTTTCATTTGCACAGCCCCGTTTTTTTAAAGTAACCCCTCCAATTTCAGAACTTTTTTTCTTCGTAGTTCATGAAAAAAGCTACAGCGGGGGAAAAAAAACGTTACAGTCACGGTTAGCGCTGACGGCGATTTGCTCGTCTGAAAAGCCCGTCGTCGCGCGTAGCTCTTACCCCCTATTTACGATCGACATGCGAAATTGCCCTTTACGATCCCAAGGGCCGTTAAACGTATACTCGGTAGTCCACGCGACGTGATTTTCAATTCCCAAGCGCATGCACGAACCCTCTGAATTTAGAGCGCAGGAGGCGCTCATTAATCCACCCTCGCTCACGTGAGTGTGTGAGGGGTGTAATTTTTAATGAAATTTACGACCAAAGCAGCGAAAATAAAGTTCGTATACAACGCGGCAGATCAAGCGACATCGCGTCGCGACATAGCAACGGGAAAATTGAATCAACCCTTACCGCGTAATTAAAACGCGCGTGATGGGTGTACACGTGTCGGTTGTTTTTAGTAGAGTTTGTTGGTGCTTTCTGGATCAAAGGAGCACTCTAAATTTGACAGTGCAATAAAGGTTTTTAGTAACACACCGTAAAAGGGTTCACAAACCCGTTAAAATTTTCTTTTGAAACCAGAAGAAGTGATGTATTGAATGCAAGTGATGGTGATTGTAACTTTATCGCGTTGCTGATGTATTCAGACAAATTTAACAAATTGAAAATTTTTCGTGAGCCCAAAAGTTCTTTAGGTTTTCCTTTTATTTTATATTGGTAGCGCTGCTCCATTTTTCAATAAAAAAAAAAATATATTTAAACAAACAAAAAAACCAAAGCAAAAAGCATTCACTCATCGGTACTCTGTTAAACATTCAGTTGTTTGTTTCATTCCTCCCACATGGGGTGGTATATAGAACGATCGCTGCAAATACATTACGAATAAAAAATATTCTTTCGCATTGTTTGCAAAATCCGGCGTACGGGCTCTGTAGAGCAAACGTTTTTTTTAAATGAACCAAAATTCCCGAAATTGCGAAATTTTATCTTTGCTGAATCCGTGATCAAAGTAGTTTTTTTGAGTTCTTTTTTCGGGTAAACACCAGAAAACTTTTATTTTTCATAAATGTAATAATTCACTTCACGATACCCATATACATGTCCCGTATACAAACGAATGTACCAAAAGCGTAATAACCTAATTTACTTTGCGCCGGTAGCAGAAAATCCATGTTCAATATCAAATTTCAAAAACTACGTACATCCATGTTCGCGCTTCAATTACAATTTCACGTAAATGTCCAACACACAAAGTCACGTATCCAAAGGCAAATTAAAAAGCCCGTCTCTGTCTCACTCGCCTAGCCAACGAATGAAATGTCTGGGGAAAAAACAGGTATTTGTATAAGCACGAGTTCAGTGATTATTCATAAGCTACGGCACGACTCGCGCGAAATACCACACGCTCGCATCTCCGTTTTAGAGCAGAATAAGTCGTAATCGATCTAAAAGCACCGCCCCTAATCGTGCAATCAGGGAAATGGGCACCACGTGCACTCCTGCCGTGGTGCTGATTATTGCTCACACCCTCGTCTTCTTCTGCCTCTCTACAGAATAACTGTACAGGCAACATTGATGATTGCAGCGAGTCTCAGTGCAGCTAGCGAAGGGAGTATGAATATTACTCGCCTCATCAGAGCTAGGGAGAAAAGAGGGGATGAACGACCCAAGATCTAAAATAACAGTATACAAAGGATATCGGCTGTCACTGCTGCTTGCGGATCGGAAAATGTTATATGATTCCCAATAAACAAATTGTAGATTCATCCGACTTCGCGATCGCGTTGCTTTTTTTAGGGACAGAATCAATTAGCTGCTCTGAAACGTGACACAATAAACAAATATGCCACACGAACACGCGTAAGTGACCAAGAGAAAAAACAGAGTCTATCTGAGTGTTATTGTCTCCTCCAAACGTTTCCCCGCTATGTGTTGAAAGAAACACGTACACCCTCGCGACCCTAGAGGCACACAGCCATCCTCTTGTTACGCACTATTTGAGTGGTAGAGCAAAAAACAGGAGATAGGGATACTTTCTTGCCCACCCACGAGCATGTACTGGTGGAAAAATAAGATGTCGATGAGAGAATAAAAGCCTTTTTTTCAAGCTTCGCGATCCAAATTCGTATCGACGACTCGCAATGTTGGTAAGGAAGACGCGAGTCTTCGTATGTGTGTCGGGTCGCACTTTGTAAGCTAATGAAATTTTCAGGGGTGCAATAGTACAACACAATAATACATTGGCGCCCTCCTCGGCTACCTCCTCTTATAGAATTTGAATTTCAAATTGCCAGAGTGTCATGAGCTGTTTCTCCGTTTCTAGAGTTTGTGTGTGTGTGTGTGTGGAAACTCGAGTTTCGCATTGGCGCCGTATTAATTTGGCTGATTACATTTGGGGTATCGCTCACTTGTTTATATTTGCGTGGGGGGAAAGTGGCGGCAGCAGTTCGAGAAAGAGGATATATTGCCACCTCCGGTATCCAATGTAGGGGGTGTGAAAAATTAAAAACCCTGGCTGAGACGTGCGGGGCAGTTAGTGTATGCATTAAAAATTTTATCCGCTAAATTTGACGGCTGGCTCAGCGTGAGAGAGATGTTAGTAAAATTGGTAATCGATACGCGTGCGTACAAATGTATGTTGGTACAATGTACTTACTTTTCCAGAGCCACCCCTATGCAGCTGCATGTTTCCGCCTTTACACTCGGGCCGATCGGAAAGCATGAACAAATTATTGCCCTCGGTATTGTAATGGTATGCAACATTGGCAATTTTTTCACGTGAAAATTTATTACTCCGTGCCGAGCAATGGGGGTGCGCTTCAAATTCCGTCTCCCCCCCCCCCATCGGTATGTATGTGCATTTCGAGGGTACGTGGCAGTGCAGTGGAAATTTCGGGTTTATTTTTGCACTGATTATAGCTGTGATTTGATATTATGTATATTCGCAGCGAAATCCTCGTTATCACCATGAGCAAACCCTTATCGAGAGATAATTTAATGATGAACATTTGAATGTTATTCGCGAAATTTTAACTCAAATGTAGTAAACTCATATGAACAAAATAATATCGTAAAATTACCAATTATGTTCCCAAAAATCCCAGCAAATAATGTGATATTACATTGATTTTAATAAAAAAAAAAAATTTTTATGTAATCACGAGTAAAATTGATACACAAAGCCTTAAATTGAAAGCTCCGACTAAATACGAGCAATAAGAGTAAAAAAGAAGAAGAAAAAAATGGCGAAAATGCGCCTGACGAAGAATCGAAATAGACGAATCGGAAATTGAAAAAAAAAAAAAAAAAAAAACGCTTATCGAGCAAAACTCGTGCGTGAATCTAAAACAAAAGCTGCAGGCAAGAGACAGCAGTCAAAAATAGTCGCTCTTCATTGTTGAAAAACTCGTCCTCTCGGGCGAACCGTCAAACGAGCTATATTCGGGCGCAGAGAGCAAAAATCTCTTAATAAACGTGACCGATGCGTCTACGCGTATTTTCACCATCGCTTCGGGAATTTGCTCTCTCGGTGATATGCGCACCGGAATCTCGCTCAGTTTTTACCGATGAAAACGCTTTCAAACTTGGGACGGACAAATAGCTCTTTCAACCGCGCGTGCCGCGGGTTCCTCGTTTGACCCCACTTTTAGAAATCAAAGGGAATTTTTTTAAAAACAGAACTCTATTTACGAACCAAAAAAACATCCGCCCAGAGACCAAAAAAAGCCGCCCAATAAACTCCCAACAAACAAGAGTTTCTCTCCCCGTGTATACACTTTATCATAGAAAAAGTATATAGAGCCGACGTGCGATATTACCGCGGCTGATTTACATGCGCAGCGCGCTCCTTACACCCCTTACCCCTCCCTCTGTCACGTTATGGTTATGGCCCTCTCTTGCATCTCTCGCAGCGACTACGCGTATATATTATGGCGCGATGATTATGTTTATGGAGGGGTAGAGAGGGGCAGTCTTCGCTCATAGTTGTCGCAACGAGCGCTTGGGTCTCGCGTGAAACACTGGGGCATATCAACAGGTTGTCTGCGGAGGTCTAGAATTTTTCTTACGGTTAGCGGCACGTATGCGTAGGATTTTTTTTTTTTTTTCTATATAAGTATCGACTTTTTGTTTGGTGTCACTGTACACCGAAAATACATGAATTTACATCTGTTGTATTTATTTATGGACGTAGCCGTCATACCTATATACTTTTACAGCAGAGTAATATTTGGCTCTTTGGCGTATTTTAAAATTGAAAAGTCGCCATTCGCTTTTGCCTTTTTTTTTTTACTTTTCTACCCATCACAAAAAATATATGGAAAAAAAAAAATTGTAGGTGTACATAATATGCACGCATCGACATAAACAAAATTAATCCCCAAGGCGACAACGCGCAACGCGCGATGCACGTGTTGTAAAATTGAAGGCACCCGCTTTCACAAGCAACAACGCGAATGAAAATGAAAATGAAGCGTGATGAAAATTTCGTAATCAGCATTGCAAATGAAGAAATAAAACGCGCTCCTGTGTTTGGTGTTCTGTTGCAGTTGGGCTCTTTCACGTACTACACAGCGGCCAAGGGTGAGGTGAACCCTTCGGGGCCGATACCCATCGACAGTGTTTTCATCTACCGGCCGGACAAACGACTCGAGCTCTGGAGGTTCGCCTTTTACATGTTCCTTCACGCCGGGTGAGTACACACTACCATGTATGAATAAACAAATAATTTGTTGTTGTTGTTTCGACTCTACCATTAAAAGAATGCATGTATATAAGCTTTTCACTGCCGAGTTTTTAGAATTTCTTTTTAAAATAACAAAGGATATAAATCTATGTACCCCCACTGTGCAGCATGATGCTGTACCACGTTGAATATAAATTCCGCAGGTATTTGTATGAAATTTGAGTGGAAAAAATTATAATAAACTTTGGAACATTCCGGATATTGCAAACATATTTTTCAACGAAAAATCATCATGTTTTACCTTGGAAATACCTCCGTTCCGCGAGTTTTTCCGGGCTCCTTTTTATTAAATACGTATAAAGGCATTTAACGGGATAACACAATCCACGAGACGCGACGAACCTTAAACCCTTACTTTTATGTACATACGAGAAAACTCCTTAAAATATGCACATGATATATATCGAAGTGATAGCGTTTTCATGCCAAATACAAAAGACTGATTTCGCGCCCAAGACGGAGGAGGTAATTTCTCCTTTGGGCGGAATGAATATCCCATCGATGGAACCAGCTATACACGCGATGCGGAAACAAAAATCCCTCGATCCGCGCGGTCGATTGAATATTTCCGGGGCCAATGAAATTAAAACTCCCCATTCGCCCGTTCGTATTTCCCTATCGAGGAGCGACGAAAAGGAAGAGCTGCGCGTGAGCGGACAAAAAAAAAGAACCAAGAGAGAGAAAGAAAAATCGGGCGCTCGTGCGAAAATGGCGGGCGAGAGTGCAAAAAAAGGAATGGTCGGAGAGGAAAAGGAAGAAGAAAAGGAGGGAAGGATAAGTTTCCCGCGACGGGCTCCTTAAATTATTCATGAGAACGTGCCGTCGGGATATTGTGTGCAAGGGGTGTACGTACATGCAAGCGAGGATGATGCGAGGTACAATGGGTGCGCGTACAGAGAGAGTCGAAAATACGGTTGCACGTATCTCTAAGCAAGGTGTTACAACGAGGGACCGCTTATTAGCCAATGCCAGTGGCTATACGTGATGCTGAAAGAAAAAAAGCCACAGCAACCAATCGATCTGGCTCCATACGAAGAAGGAGGACCTCCTCTCCATGAACAGCTCGCGTGAACCGTAGGTATATACTGTGTCTCCAGTGAGCAGTGCTTGCTTTGACCAGCGATGAATAAAAAACACCGAGTTAACTAGGTGTGCGCTCGTCACCCTAGATAAAAATTTAACAGGGACGAGGGAGAGCACGGGTCGCGTATACAATCGCACGGGAGCGCCAAGAGTTGCTCGCGAGCCGATAATTTTATGCAGATTGAGGAGGAGGCTAGCGCGTGTTAGAGTCGTGGGCACATACAGCTAAGTAATACGGTGTCCCATACCACACCACTCGTACAAATATATACCCACGCAACTCAACACGTGCACTTATACTTATTGTGTGTGTACACACGAGGAGGAGCAAGTTCGCCCGGTAAGAGAGAAAACGAGATTTTCCCACGACGAGCGCGTGTTGGTATACGGTATAATATGTAGTCATACGCCTTCTTACGCATACTTATACGAGTGACCTTATGGATATTTATGTATATACCGTGGGTATAAATGGTAGTAAGAGTCGCGGGACCAAGGATATTGCCGTCGTCGTCGTTGGGGTGTGAATTTGGAATGTCGTTTGGAGAGTAATTAAGAGGGGGGATGGTGACATGTAGGGCTTGCCGTTTGACTTGCGTGAGTATTTTATACAACCCCCTCAAGACTGTGTCCCCCGAAATCCACCGATTTCCTACCCGTGCTACGATATATTTTTTTTCTGACTATCTTTTCATTGAAGTTCCGAGGGAAACTGAGGTGAAATATTAAATACACGTGGGCGATATTACCGGCGTTCGTCAATCTACTGCAGCAACAATACCTACTACCAACCTCGGCTGTTTGTTTTATATAAAAAAAGTGGGCACATATCAACTGAACGACTATAAATCAATTTCATTGTTTTGTAGGTACATATGCACCTTTTTAAATCCCAGCATTGAGTAATTTTGATGTCCTCTTCTTGTCGTAGAAAAAAAAAAAAAAAAAAAACGAGAGAGAGAGAGAGAGAGTGATAGGTCCATCCGAGGTCCATCCATGTAAATATACGCATCTTGGCGGTGCACAAGCTCGTCAACAAACTTTCGCACGGAGAGCACAATGGAGGGAGAATGTATCAATAACAGGACCAAAGAGAGAGAGAGAGACTCCCAGCATCCCCGTGCATGCATACGGCATAATAATATTATAATATGTAACCACGCGAAGGATATACAACGAAATCCGCGTCACACGCTAGTTTTCGGGTATATACTCTCCGTGGGAAAAGACAGTATACGCATAAATGTACACAAACACTCAAGCGAGCGCGGTTAACGCGCTTCAATCGCCCGTATGGTCTGTCTGACGCGTCTCTCGTTCTCTCACACGTACACGTACAGCTTTAATTAGCGGAAGTCGACGCGAGAGAGCCACCGCCGGTGCTACTGTTGTGCGCCCATTATATACTTGTGTGGAACACGCCAAGGACGAGAGAGAGATATATATATATATATTATCCCTATGGCTCCTCTGCCGACTGACTGACGCGTGATGCTGCGAAAAGCCGAGTGGGCCTCTCCCCCTCCTCTTCTCCTTTTTCGTGTACACTTATTACCTTTGTGTACACATTATATAAATACCTGTGTAGCTTGTAATGCGGCTGTACTTTGTCCGCGCGACTGAATGGATGAGGCGCTTTCGCGATTTTGTTTGCGCGTAATGATTTCTCCCTTTGAAAAGCGAGTCTCGGCTCGAGACACGACGCGGTTGCTTTTTACTGATTTTTCACACGTTCGGGACTCTGTGTGTCACTGCTCGTGTTGTGGGAAAGTGAAAAAGAAGATTTTTGAGCAATGTTGGCGGTCTTTTTTTTTTTTTTTTTGTTTGCTTTGTCTACAAAGAGATCGAAAAGAGAGGCGTTCTTCGATCGGTGAACCTGTAACAAATTGCGCACTTGAAGTTACACACCGAGGTACCGGGACGGCAAGTTAGGCAATTTTTTAACGCGTTTACGCGCACAATAACCATGTCGCATCAAAATTGGATACTCGATCGATGGAAAGTACTTTTTTTTTTTCCATTCGCCACACTGTACACGATAAAACGATTGATGAAATATTCAAAAGGGCTCGCGCAGCGAGTAATGTGCTACCTGTGTATTATTCACGCCGTTGTAGGTGATGTGTTTTTAATGATCGATGGCGCGAGGCTTTGCGATTAATAGGCGTGTGTCGTACCGCTACCATTATATTATACACTTTGTTGCTCGGCGCACGCACAATTACACGCGAGTGTATATACCCAATATATGTACTGTAATGCGCCAACTCATCGTAACCATACAAGTACTTGTCTTTACATCGTGTAACTCTGCAATTTCGTGAGCAAAGACGCCCCGAAAACACACTGTGTATGCAGTCGATCTCACTACAAGCCGACAGCACAATTTTTCATCCCTCGTTTCCGGCACGTCGTATTGTAATATCGAGAAAAAAAAAAAAAAAAAAAAAATTCATGAATTTAAAATGATAAAGACTCCGCGATACATCACCACACGGGGCAAACAGGTTTGATTAATCGGAGCCCCGAAAAAACTTTGATTGGACGCTCAAAAGAGCCGCGCGACAGCTCATCGATCACACCACCTCCTCCTTCTTCTTCCACTCCCTTGGCCCGCAAGCTCTAAAATCTGGGATTATAATGGCACGACTTACACACGGAAGAACGGCGGTGGGTATCGCACAGAGGAGAGTATAGTTTCCGCTCGAGCAAGATATTCGGCCGCGAAGAGAAAAGAACTCGGAGACAAAGACTCTCTCCGCGGCAGGGTAAAAGAGGGCGAGATATAGTATACTCGTAGTTTCGCGTCTTTCGGAGCCGGTATATTTCGGCGACGATTTTCCGCGCGTAATCCCTCCCCGAGAGGAACGAGAGAGAGGGGAGTTTGGATCTAAATTTATTTATAGCCCCGAAAAAAACGTACCCACCGCGGAAGGGAGAGAGCCTGTAGGTGTTGAGCGGGAGATTTATATCCACCCGGGAGGAACGGAGCCAAACTCGCGGGGGTACATGTATATACATATACATCGGGGCTTCCTCCACAGTTTTATGCCCTAACGATTGCACGAGCCGATGAGGGCGCCCACACGCGTACAATCGACTGTAAAAAAACTTTTGCTTGCACAAGCGCATTATGCAAGCTTTTAAAATTCGTGGCACCTGCTCCGCCCGAATATAAGCACGCGTTACAGAGTCCTGCCGTATGACGAAATAAATCAGAGGCTGGGAAAAAAAACTCCGTATTCAAGTACGTGTAGACTTTCCTGGGTAACTCTTGGGCCCCTGGATTTGAATAATGACACGCTATGCGCACGCTTTTCCGATACGCGGTGCCGATTATGCACGCGCCTGGCAAGAGCCCATTATGCGCTCGTCCATGTATACAGGTATATATACGCGCAAGTGTTGAGCACAGGACGGCCGAAAAGGAAAGGACCACCGCGTAAAAATCGAGCCCTTCCTCATCTACATTTTCCTCCGAGGCTGAAACTACTGCTTCTACTTTATTCCTGCTTTATATTCCGCAATTATGAAAATGCGATCGGCTTTCGGGACGCGGGAGGAGCTTTTCTTGACAAATTGCTTTTAATCCGACGTGGAGGTGGAGGAGGGAAATTGAATGGCCCAAGCGCGAGATGTCCAATTTTTCCACCACCCCCTCCAATGACGCAGCTATTGCATATCATACGAATTATGCATTCTGGGCTCAGGTGGGTGTGTTTGTGTTTTGTTCGATAGGTTTGTTGTTACTTTTGGTGCCTAGTTTCCCTCTGGGGGTTTTTTTTACTCATATATACTTGTAAAGTGTATTCTAGTGAAAATAGTTTTTATCACAGAGCGTAAAAACATAAAATGTTTACTCT